CTGGGCTGCATTTTAGTGAGTTAAAACAGTTAAAACAGTCCTGTCTGACTGAGAAACTTGGTGATTTACGATAAGTCTGCATCCAACAGTTGTACATGTGCAGCTTTTGCAGGAGGAGGGAGCTGGAGCATCATCTGACTAACTGACCACCAGAATGACTCAGAATAGCTGCTGGTCGCAGCTAAAAACAACTGCTATTTTTTATATATCTATTTTATTTTACTATTTTTTTTTAATAGTTAGGATGCCTGGGATCTTTCTGCGTGGAGTCTCCATGTTCTCCCCGTGCAGCGTGGGTTCTCTCCAGGTTCTCCGGCTTCCTCCCACAAACATGCTGAGGTTAATTGGTGATTCTAAATTGTCCGTATGTGTGAATGTGAGTGTGCTTGGTTGTCTGTCTCTAAGTGTAGCCCTGTGATAGACTGGTTACCTGTCCAGGTGAACCTGCCTTCACCCTGAGTCAGCTGGGATAGACTCCAGCCCCCCACCACCCTAGTGAGGATTAGGCGGTGTATAGATAATGGATGATAATAGATGAAGTGGGACTGAGTTAAAATGAAAGATGTTAAAATGCTCTGTAGAGTCCTCAGGAACTGCAAGGGTTAAATCTGTGGATTTGTCAGTTTGAGTGACCTCTTTAACTCTCTGAATCCCAAAACCTGCCAGAAGGATTTCAGACCCATGTTATCTCTGAAAGAAATCACCACAATTGCACAAAACAACAAGAAGACTCATCAGATTGTCAACTTTCCAGTGGTTCTTGAGCTAATCATGTGTGCTCCACTGGAAATCCCAACCAAATCCACATCGTGATAGTTCATGACGAGGAAAAGTACACCGGCCAGATTCTGTAAAAAAAAAATAATAAAAATAAAATAAAATTTCTAGACTTCTTGGCATGACAATGAAGCCATTCATGATTCAGCTGCGTCCAACAGTCACGTCACAAAAATTAAGAAACTTTTCAGCTGAAATGCAGAAAGGAGACAAGAAAGGAAAAAATTAAATATAAGTAGTAAAACGTCGATCTGGACTCATCCGGTTTTCCAAACTGCAGGTTTGGTTTTAGACTTTTGTAAAATAAATCCAGAAATGCAGCTTTCATTTTATTCCCTCTGCTTTTTATAATTCATGGCATAACTGTGTCACACTGCACAAAGACATTTTGTTCTCTCTACCACCAGCCATGGTTGTGCTGTTTTTAAAGGGTGCAGGACTTGAAAAATGAGCCCACGGAAAGTAAAAGCTCGGAGCTCAGAGGGTTAACAAACAAGTCACAGAATCTCCTGCTAATGTACTAATTAGTGCAGCCTTTTGTCTTTTTGAAAATTACAAAATGAAGAAATCCTGTATTCTGCGGTCCAAAGTGATGCGGCTTGTTGCTAAATCTATCTTGTGCAACTGTCAGCTGTGGCCACCTACCTGATGTATTCTGAACAGGGAGGAGGAGATATATGGAGTGTCTCTGTGTGGGAGCATTTGTTAAAACTGTTCCTCGGCTTGTGGGATTGTTGGTTGAAAGACAAAGAAGCACCTCGGAGGCATCCTTCAAACAAAGACATTAAAAAGTCATCATTTCATGACTTGTTCAAAGAGTGTTTTAGATCCATCTCCAGAGTGTTTTAGCAACGCTGACGCCCTCACCGCGGCGAGGCAACCCAACTTGGCATTGAGAAGGTTTCCAAAAGTAGAATTATGTTTTGATTTGTTTCTACGAATTGTGTTTTTTTTTTTTTTTCCAGGAGCTGAGTTAAAGCAGAGCTGCATGGCGTTAGACTGAACACTCCGGCTATTATGGCTAATTCATGATGATGCTTTTCTTTTCCGTTCTGTCTCCTCCTGCTATCACACAGCTTTTTCACACCACTCTCTCTCTCTCTCTCTCTCTCTCTATCTTTCAGCTGTGGCTTCTCAGGACCGGGCCATCGCTGCAGACAGAAGGAGGGTAGCGTCTATAAATAGAAATTGGACCAATTATAAAGCAGATGTTCCCCTCTATGATGGTGGGAGAACACTGTCGGGGGAGCATGTCTGTGGTATTTTCACTACCTCTCTGTGCTCTTGTTCTGCGTTGTTTAAAGTCTGTCTTTAGACTGCCTCGTTTCTCCGGCTGCCAGGATTCCTCCTTCTCTCTTGCTTAATCTTCACAACTATTTTTTTCAAATGGCAAAATATTTTTCTCTTAATTCGGGGTGTTCTCCACGTCACCGGATGATCAAGTCGTACATACGAGCGCCCGTGTTGGTTGCGCGTCTCAATTCTCAGCCTACATCTCTAAATAAAGCTCCTCAGCCTGACTGACAGCCCTGTAACAGGCTGCGGCGTGTGACATCCATTTATCGCTCGCTGTTTACATCTAAATCGCTTTGCCATCGCCAGGTTGTTTAACTCTGACTCGTAGTTTAGCAGTTATTCTCATCCCTCAAACACATGAACGAGGATTGTCTTCATGAGAACCAACACCAGTAAGACAGTACGCGCTGTTCGAGTCTTTGGGGTGAATAAACAAAATCTAAACCATCCAAACACGGAGTCATGGAGACTTTAACCAGCGCTGCCACCTTTCTGTAATTTGAGGGGAACTCCTCTTCGGCAACACATCGTATTGTAATTGGAGACATTCAATCAGTGTCTGTGAAGTTTTTGCAAACAGAAACGCATCTCTCACGAAGCAGGATGTGATCTCTGATAAATGTTTTCATGACAAAATGCCAAAACACCAAATGTACAAATGAGGGATTATAATCCTAGGAAAGACTCGTTATTCTAAACTGTGCAAACTATTTCTAGGATTTTAGGATGTCTACCGCGATTAAATCCTAAATCTCATTTTCATTACAAATGTTTAATTCTTGAGCAGCAAAAGGGCAGCAGGAGGAACTTTTCCCTCCTCAGTATGGCCTCTTCTCCTCCTGACCAGTCACTGTAATCGTAATTCCAGTCATCATCATCCTCGGCGCTATCATCGCTTTGATCGGCAACAACGTGGCCGTCATCAGTTTTGCTGATGGGTGATACGGCTGTTTCAGATGTGCTGCAGTGAGGCAGAAGCCCAATCCATGCTAAGTAGGTTAGGGGGGTAAATCTTCAGGTCTCCGGAGGCTGAGCGTTTTCCCTCCAATGTCTCTCTCCCTGTCAGCATCTGACAAGCTCACCAAGGCTGAGCTGAAAAGTACCCACCTCCGCTGTTCTCTTTACTGCCATGCTCTCCTCCACTCCCTGCCATGATCTATTCTCTACTGTCTGTCTCCACTTTGCTCCACGCATTTTCTCTTTCTTGTGCTTCCATCTCCCACGGCTTCCTTCTCCCCTCCCCACTCCCGAACTTTTGCAGTCTCCCATCTCATGCACACAAATATGCGCTCATGCATGCATGCACTCAAGCTCACACACAGCCATTAGCCAGTACATCCACATTTATGGTTCAAAAGCTAAACATTTACTCCCTCCATCCTGGTACTTATTCTGCCTACAGTTGCTCTCGTAGCCCGTAGGCCGGCTTAACTGACATTGCATCTTGGCCACAATTTGCAACATGACTCACTGGAGTTGATGTGAAACTTTGTGACAGATGACACAGCCACGTTTGACTCACAGCAACAGCGAAGCATAGCCTAATTCAAATTAGGCAAGTGATTTATTTTAGGATGAAGGCAATAGGCTTCTCTCAGCTACCTGTTAGCAGCGATGAGTGTTTAGATGCATATGAATGATTGTGAATGACGGGGAAATGTGTTGTGCTGCTTTCAGTGATGCTACAAAAAGCTTTTTTCAGGGGGAGGGGAGGACTTGGATACTCACTCGTTAGTGTCAGTCGGGCTGGATGAACCGCATGTATGGATAGTACGCATCGCATGCGGCGTGTGCAGGTGAAGCACGTAGAGTTTGTTCTAGATAAGAGCCTCTGATTCATTATGACTAATGGGAAGTGACTAATTTATTAGCGTGCACCTCGGTGCAGAAGTGTGTGATAAGCAGGTCTTTGGAGATGAAAGTTCACGAGCCCAACAGATTATTAAACACTTAACCAATCAAGGCGCACGATGGCTCTCGACCAGCATGCAACTAATTCACATCTTGACTCCCATTCAGCTGGTGCGGTCCAGCCGGTGAGCCAGTCACAGCCAACTCCACAACAATGCTCATCACCAGCATTGCTCATAAATGTCAACGAGAAATAATTAACGCAGGAAAAATTACACCAACCGAATTACGCACTTTGATCGACATTAAATAATGCATGTTCACACCCTGCGTCCTGTGATGGTGCTGGTCATACATCCACACAGAAGACCTGCGCTGACGTCGTGCTGCCTTTCTGTGGACGTCATGAATAAGCAGAGGTGACGCGCAGCTGAGAGGAAGGCAAAGCTTGAAAAATTTAAAGCTGCCAGAATCAAGAGCGGCCCATGTGATGCGCCACACATACAATATGCATGTGTGACTCATATATGTTTATGTAAGCGGCTCCACACGGGGGAAATAAGGTTACACCAAACAGAGCCTGAGGGCATACAGGCGCCCGGTCCTGGTTTAAAGCAGACCAACACAACAAGTGCTTCTAAAGGACATTGTGTCAAATCTCTGTCTGCTTTGTAAAACATTTAGATTTTATTACATGTTTCATTCTGAAAACCACGTGCTTGGTTAGTCAACACCAAACAGTCACCCCTTTGCTCCTGTTGGCTTCAGCCTCTGGGCAGTCTGTAATGTTGTGTGCCTGAGTTCATTCCGAATCTATTTGTGCAGTCGATTACACAGCTGCGTTTTTTTGTTGTGTGTCTTTTTTTTTTTAACCATTTTTGCAGTATTTTAGATTTTCCATGTGGATGCACTGTGGCAGATGCTGACCATGTTGGCAGCCCAGGACATCGTGACCGACTTCAGATCACACCACCTATATCATCACGTAGTGGACTGGTGAACGACCACACAACAGAAAGAAAACAACCCAAAAATAGAAAAGGGACATGACTGGAATTATTTCTGTCTTGGCCTACCTCCGTGAGGTGAGGATTGGGGTTGAAGCCACACTGGTTGCACACCATGGAGCGGCACAGTGTGCAGGTGTTGAAGTTGGGCTTGTCGTCCCCGGTGCCCATCAGGTCTGTGGTTTTGCAGACAGGGCACAGTTTGCTGCTGGGCATAGGTGCAATTTGAGGCACAGAGTAAGGGGAGGTGGGGACGCTGCCTCGGTCCGGGGACACAGAAGGGGACCTCCCAGTCCTGTTGCTACCCACATCCACCTGCAGACTCTTCCTGGCCACGTGACCCTGGCCCTGCTCTCCCTGTGGCGCAGCATGCTGAGGCGTGTCATGGGAGGCCAGCCTGTCGCCGGTCCCATGGCTGCTCTGGACTCCTGCTTTCGGCCCCGGGTCCGACGGAGGCGCTCTGGCAGAGGAGGCAAACAGAACACAGGTGGACATTAGACTTGGGTTCTAAATTAGGAGTCATTAGGACTGATTTTTTACAGAAAAACAATCAATTATGATGTACTGTAACTTTCTGGCACCCCTGTTGGTAACAAAGAGCCATCTGGGCCTGGAAATACTTCTCTAATATCACAACAAAGACGTCTTAAAGGGAGTCTGAAAATCCTTGGGAGGAAAAGCAGTTTCAAATTGGGCAGCTGAACAAAAAAGATGTACAGTCGTGACTCGATGATCCGACCCTTAACAATCCTAAACCTTGCTATCCGACAGGTTTGTAGGAAAAACTAACGGAACTTATTAAAAACAGCCTTAACATAGCGACAGCCTTGGATTCTGACTCTGACATGACATTTTATGTTACCAATCAGGATAACGGCGTTTTATCTGACGATATGTTCAGACTACAGGACTTAATGCTCAGTTCAGATTTTTTTGTGAGTTCGTTCACATTTCCAGTTCAATGCGACTTGTATGTGATCTGCTGTGTGAACTTCATACGACCCAAAAGTGTCCCGCATGTACAGAAGAGGACACGACGGCGTCACACACAGCGAGCGTGCTCAGAGTTTACAGAAGTAAACACGGATGGTGGCAGCAGCTGTGGTGGCAGCGGGGGAGTGGCGCTGCCCCCACTGCCCACAGTGGAAACAGAAGTGTGACCGCCATCCTAAACTGGCATCAGCAGCAAAGTCCCGCCTGTGTGTTCTGGACACTTCCACCTCGTCAGAGCGCTCTCCGGGGTGGAAGTGTCCCCCAACTGCACCGAATATTCTGATATTCATCATTAATTGAGCCTGAATATCCAGAGAGCAGAAAGTTCTACTGGGACCAGCCCTACTAGTTATTATAACAACTATGAACAATAATTAACAACTAATGAGCCTTCCAGCATCAAGCCCTCCTTGTATCTGGACCTCCGTCTTGACAATCCGACAGCCTTGCTATCCGACATAAAGGAAGGTTTTAATTTTATCGTCGGATTATCGAGTCACGACTGTATATTTTTTTAATATAAGTATATATGCTACATGTGGTATATATATTTTAAAAATCATCAACTAGCTTATATCCAACTGATTCCATCAAGCTACTATTTCCAAGGTCAACAATGATTCTGACCTATTTTCCACTTATGCTTGCGCAGCACTGTGTTGTATAGCCAATTGTGTGCTGAGCCATACTTAGATTCTTCCTTACATCTTTACCCTTTGTATTTCTTTTTTCAAATTCTTTTATTCCAGCATAGCTATTGGCGCATACTTGAATTGTACATGTGACAAAGAAAGGCCTTGACTCCACTCTTTCTTACTCTTATACAAGCACACATTCACAAACACTGCAGCTCCTTGAAATCACAGAACGTATTGTATAAGTCGGACGACTCAGTTGAAAACTCTCCAAACTTCAGGTTGGAAAAACCACATTATATATTGTTTTAAATTAAAGTGAAATTGATTTGTTTGCACACAATCTCCTCCAGAGGTTTTGATAAGCTTAATTTTCTCCCTTGTTAACCTGCAGTAACGTTTAATGTAAAACATAACCACAGTGTGGATACGAGCACAGGAACACATCGGCATCTTTGAATTTTTGTTTGTAATTAAAGCAAACTACCCTGAAGACCTTGTAACACTTCAGCACTGTACTGTAAATGTAAACTGCAGCTTATACATTTTGCATAAATTTGGCTGCATTTTCAGTATTTCAATGGGCTGCAGTTAATGTTTTCTCAAGGAGGGTTTTTAATGCAGTAATCTCTGCTTAATTTGAATAAGAAGCAGCGCTTCTTCTTCTTGAGTGATACATTTTGGAACCCTTCAGCTCCGAGATGCATTAGGTCCACATACCATTAAGAGATATTATTGTGGTTTATGAGAGGCAAATGTTGACTATTTCACGTTGCCTCTATCAGCGTCTGTGAAGTGCTCCTCGTGGCTCACTGCTGCACTTTGAAGCTGTTTGGTTCAGCGGCAAAAGGTATCAGTGCTGAAAAATTTAGGTTTTTCTTGCTTTTTCTGGCCTTGAGGCTTTAGTGCCAAAAGTTAAATAAGAATGTAGGATTTCCACTGTCATAACAACTTAGACCTTGTTTTGTCATGGCCGTCATCTTCAAAGACAGTCTCAGCAGCAGCTCTGCATCCACAGTGAGCGAAGTGTGGAAATAAAGGGAGGAATAAAGGAATTAAAATAGAGCATGTTAGCGATTGTGAGTCACTGCAGATGACTTGAGCTGCTGCACAACTTTAACCTTGTTCAGCTCTCCACAGGAGCCCCGTGTTCACCACACTGAGCCCATCGGGAAAAATCTGTACTTTTCAAACCGTCACTGGACCGTGCGTGGATGCTTGATATTCAACACAGCCGCCGACCACCACCGCTCTCACTCAGTCTGAGGCTAAAACCGGACTTTTGCAAATACCGCTAAAGCATCTTATCACTGACAGACTGCGTAGTCTTGATTTAAGTCTAAATCTTACATGCCCCGGTGTCCTCGCAAGACACAAGGTAGTTTCACATAATAAGTATCACTTGAATAGCAAAGACATGGAGTGCAGTCTCTTGTGATTTATGCAAAGCCTCGGGCATGGCTTAATGAGAGTCAAAAAAAAAAAAAGAGTTTAAACTGGAAGACACCTTTCAAAAGATTTCTCAGATATTCTCATCCATCAGCAAATGGGAGTCCACTGAGAGCTACTTGTGGCTTTGTGTCTAAAGCACTACAAATTGCTTGCTTTTCCACAGAGTGGATAGTGAAGTGTTTGTATGGTGCCTGTCTTTAGCTCCCTGTGAAACTTCCTATCGTGAAGAAGTAGGAAGACGACTGGATTGTCCTCACAGCTCAGCACACGTTGTACACTTAATAACAACGGGAATCTTAGAGGAGCCCTTTAACATGTGGAAATCGATCATTCAATGGCTTCGCAGGAGTCAGACGAGAACCGCTCTCATATCTGATTGGGAGACAGGAAACAGCTGGTTAGCTTAGCTTAGCACAAAGACTGGAAACAGGGAGAAATGGCTGACTTACAAATCTAGTCGCCAGTGTTTCCACAGGTGGCGACGAGACATTTAGAAGTTACTGGTCGAGAAATAACTTTAACAGGTCATTACTGTACCTCTGCTTGGGTTTTTTGGTTTTATTTTACCACCCATTCTAACTGGTCCCTGGCAGTAGCGTTATAGTCACTGGACCGATATGAGAACATCATCAGTTTTCTCATCTGTGTAGCGCACATTCTCCAATTGTATGCTAACAAGCATGCAGCAGACATAATGATGAACAGAGACTACTGGCACCGTCACACAGAACAGGTGGGACCCAACAAGCCATGTCAACGCTCAGCAGAGTGGATCCAACCAAAGTGGAAGTGTTTTGATTTTTTGCACAGAGATGGATATATTTGGTAATTCAGCACAACCCAGTATTTACTGTCCAGGATCGTAAAAGTCACTGCTGTGTGCGAGCCACAGAGCCTTTTGATCAAAACCTAATGTTCAGGTCTATTTTCAATTTGAACACAGAAAAACAATTCTTTCAACATCAACCCAAAGCTTATTTCAGTAAAATCTCAGCAGCCAAGTGAAGCCGTTTCTCTAGTATCCTCCGAGCAGTGCTGCACCCACACCATGTTTTAGCTGTCAATACTCATTCTGCATGTGGAAATCAACAGGACAGGCCTATACTAAGAGCCAAGCCTTCACGTTTACTACTGCATAAGTGTTTACTGAACAAAAAATATGCAAACAAATAAACTATACATTCTTCTATCCAGGCAAATATATAAAAGTGACCTCACGCTAGTTTGTCAAATATGTCCCTCGGTACTGGGAAGATGATCTGACAGACATGTACTTAATTTTAGATGGATATAGTATATCTGTATCAGTATCCCTATAATGGAGATCCTATATGTTTCTCATTGATTTATTCTTCTGTCCATTGGAAATGAAACTGGGTAGCCGAGGCTTCTGAGTGAAAAACTATCTCGTGCCTTCCATTTAGTAATATTTAAAGGTCAAAGCAAAAACACTGTGGATGAAGCAGGCTTTAAATGCACCGTGTGGAAATGCGTTTTAACGGCATCAAGTGAGGAATACATCCACCGTGAAATATCCGCTTGTCAAAATAGCATCAACAACTAGTGCAGCTGTTTTCAGCAGGCGCCGGGAATGTCACGTCAGACACATTCAGAGGTTGTTTTTTTTTTTTTACCCCAATAGGAAACACTTTCAGCTTCATAATGATTCAGCAAGACAGATTTAGTTTTGTCGTGCAGTGGCTGCTGGACGCTTTGGTTGCTTCTGTGTTGAAGTAAATCACCAGCGTTAAAGAGGAACCAAGGAACAAATACAGTTTGACACCTAATCAAATCGTTCCTGTCGAAAATTATGACAAATGTGTTGTTTTAAAAAAAAAAAAAAAATTGGTGTTCTGTGCCGATGCCAGTAGCAACAGGAAACAAACAGCCAATAGCTACTAATGAAAAGAAATCAGAAACACATTTAATATCATTAATATTTTAAATTCGCCAAACCTGTGACAGAGACTGTGACAAATAGCACCACACCAAGGCTGACTCACTAAACTAACTATTACAGGGTCTCCGACATACATGGATAGCAGCGTTACAGGCCTCAGCCCCTCTTATTGTTCATTATTTGCAGACTTTTCATCATTTAGCATCAGACAAGCCTCAAAAAATAACTGATCAGCACTCGAGACATGGATGAGACGGAAACCTTACTGTGGAGGCAACATATACCTCATCATGCTGGTCAAATATAAAAGCACTCGGCTCACTAAATATGTCAAGAACTCTTTTCAAAATCGCAAGTGGACCTTAAACAACGATCTCAAAACAACACACAAACCATGTGCTCCAGCTGGTTTATTGGTAATTGTCCCTCAGATGAGTGGATCCACTGCATGTACTTGTGACAAAAACCAGGTACGGCGTCTGTGCTGCCAAAATATTCTGCGTAGCGAGTGGGAGTCGATCGAAGTTAACTCGGTAGCCTCAGTGTTTTTGAGAAAAACCTTTTTCAGTCTGAAAACATGAAGGGGAGAGAAGCGCACGCCTGTTTTCAGTCGGCTTCGTCAAGTAGAACAAAAAACACCAATTTGCTGCAATTTGCTACTGAAGTCTATACAAGTGAAAAGAAACAGCAGGAAAAAGTGGCCTAAATAAGATTACACAGCACGCTCGAGCTTGTACGCCTCGTGTTTTTCTAATTTAGGGAGCAGGACATCGTCACTGCACTGCCGGCCCCTCATAGGTAGACATTCATTCTCTCCATGTAGGAATGTCATAAATAATAAGAACCGCTTTTGCATTATTTGTTTGAGTTATGACAACCATTTGGTATGTGTAGGCTACATGGTATACAGTGCCTCCATTGCTGAAGGTAAATTAATTATGAGGACATCCTGTTAGAGCGGTATGTCTTGGAGCATTAGCGCGTCCATTATTTTTATGGGTTTTATGAACTGCAGCTCTGTTTGGGTTCAAAAAGAACCGGCGTCGGTGACAAATGTTGGACAGACAGAATCGGTATCTGTCTGTCTGTGACGTGGTGGGGAAGGTCCGCTTCTTTACTAATTCAGTTGTTAGACAGAAAACAAGGAGGTGACGACACAGCAGCAGCGGCAGCACACTGAGCGCATTGTTGTAAACAGGAAATATTTGGAGCTTATGTCAGAATGCTTTTCGGTTCTGGTCATCGGGTCGGGATGACTGTGCACTTAGTCAAAGCTGTTATGATGAGACAAGAAAACATTTATTGTGATGCTTTGTGAGGGTAGGGTGGCTCCCACAGCTTCATACACTCCTATAGAGGCTCAGATTGAGCTCTCTGACTGCGATGAATAAACTAGAACAGGGTCTGAAATTTAAAAAAAAATTCCTATATGGAATTTACTTTGAATACGGTTATACAAAGCATATTATATCCCTATTCATATTAATAGGCGAACCCATAAAATGCTGCAACTCATTTTAATTAAGATCAAAGGCTCCTATCTCCAGTCTCAACCCAGCCGCCGTCTCATTGTTACCTAAACTCTCGCAAGTTCTTTGTGGGAGAATATGTTGAGGTGAGAATCAGAATGAACGGGTGCCCACGATCTTAAGAAAACCATTTAAATGAGCTACATGATATACTCCCCGTCTCTCTCTGCCCATTTCTCACCCGGCCTCCCTCCGACTCCCAGCACACTCAGTCTCTCAGCCATCACTTTATGAGATACCTCAGGGTGGATACCAGAGAGAAATCAAGATATAAAAGAATCATGAGGTTACAAGGGAGCTATGAGCCTTTAAACCTGCCCCACAGTGAATACACAGGATGGACAGTGAGTGCTTTTCCAAATAGAAACATACAGAGGACTGGACATTATTAAAAGTATATAGCGGCGTCTTGCAGAACGCACCAACCATCGCACCCTGAAACCACTTTCTGCAACAAAACAAGAGGCGTATATTCTTGGAGGAGTCGGCTCCGCTGTGTGTAGCATGAGGAGGTCTATACATCTATTTTACAGTGCAGACAGACTGTACGCAGGTGTGGCAAATCCAGAACGCAGCTGCGCCTCTGCACTCAGGTCTGCAACTGTTGAACTGTGTAATTAAGGCAATATCAGATCTTGTTGGAAGGGTAATCCCTCCTACACACCCACACAGAAACCTGCAGGCCACCACATGCGATCACGCTAATGATTTGGGCCGGCTTTTGGAGAAGACTAATATTTTATCAGCGTGAGCGGAAGCCAACAATGGGGTTTACATATGTTAACTGCCAAAATCAGGGCAGCATTGTCGCTCAACGCAGTGTGTCTGAGGCCAGCGTCTGGATTTCTTGTGGGGGAGATGCAACAGCACTTGTACGGGGAGAAATGACCCCCGTGCAGCAGGAAAGACGTCTTCCACCGACTGCATATTGAGATCTGATAACTGCCATGGCACATTTCGGTCTGCTCACAGTGACGTTGGTACGATGGTGGCACTGGCATCCTACACAACACAGCCACAGACAGTCTGCTCGTCAGGACCAAGGTGATTCCTCACAATGACTCTGTATTTACTCATGTCGAAGCATCAACCTTGTAATGGACCCTTCAACGTGAGATCCAGTGCACTCTGCATCATTTACATTTCTAATTTATTTATCACCTGAGGCTATGGGGACTTCATTTTTTTCTGAGATCCATTCCCAAGTATTCATACTTACTTGTCTCACAATGAGGGTAGGATAAGGGGGGTGAATGTCGCTCTTTCATTCATGATACTTACTGATGCCTCAGGACAGACAGCGTAAAAACGGGCTACTGAGGCGTCTGGGAGCTACATCCACGTTATTATGGATTCTACATCGAAAGCGTTGCATATTAAATTTGACTTCGACCCAAACTGACTAATAGGGTGGGTGCTGCCAAAAGAGCAAAAACGGGTCCGATAAAGGGGTGGTGAATTGTGTTGACAAGGATATTGAAATAAATAATTAAGCACCCATTCAGGTCTATCTACACGCAGTCGCTGGATCCTACATCTACGCTGCACATTCATGTACGCCTGCACAGCACGCCGCCGTGTAGCCTCCATGATTTCTCTCCACAGTTTTGGCGGAGAGAGGCGTCCTAGCTATCGCGACTACCTGTTAATCCCCGGGCCGGGTCCAGCCCCGCTCCCTCCGGCTGGCGCTCCATTGCTCGGCTTGATGAGCTGTCCAGAGTCCGGTGGTGCTGAAATGGAAGCCGGAGCCCCCGCTGCAGGGACGGCGGGGCCGGGCTGTCCCGCCTGTCCCTCCCCCTCCATACTGGCCTCGTTCCCCATCGCCTCGGGATAGGTCTCGACGGAGAGAAACGCTGTTGTAGATGGTTCTACAGCTGCGGCGGAAACTCGGATGAAACTCAGCGCTGCTCCTCTTCCGCCATCATCACCTACAATTCAGCATCCCGCACGGAGCACGCGCGCTGACGGAGAGGGCGAGGGGAGCGCGCTGACGCAATGGGTGGTGACTTGTGTGGCTCGTACGTGCGCGCTCCCGGCGCCCAGTTATCTCCAGCCTCAAGTCACCACGCAAAATACCCCCGAGCCCTCTACTGCGCATGTGCGGAGACCACTGAGACCTCCCCGATTCAATTCACGTCTTTGCCTTTATAGAGCGTCTGTTTTGTAACCTAAATGATGAAGACAATGAGCAACGCGGGCTGCGTGTTTGAAATGTGGCCATCCGATATCACATTTGACAGCGTTTTGTGTTTTCGTTTCTGTGAGGCGGACAGCATGAGACGAAAAATAAAATATAATTCAACCTTGCAATATAAACTCAAGGATAATCTCATCTTGTCGTGATCATATGGTCACATTTACCTCCCTGGATGATGTCAAATAAATATCAGATTCATTTGAGCCACTTTATCCAGCAGAATACAACATTTTGTAACCTCACATAAAACACAAAGTGAGTTTCAAAGATGTGTAGAGTTAACTGGAAATGATTTGGCCTATACTGATAATTTAATCACAAACTCCCACAAAGCCAAAACAATTAGTCTGTCAACTGGCAGATAATTAATCAGCAGCTATTTTTGATGAATGCCTGAGCTTATCTTTTAAGTCGTTTAAGCAAAAAAGGCCAAAAATTGCCGGAAGCTTATCAGATGTACATTTGCTGGTTATCTTGGTCTTCTGTGATCTTAAACTGAGAACTTCTGGATAAAGTCAGCTATTTAAAAATGTCATCCAGAGCTTTGGGAAATTGTGGCCTTATTATTTAAAACTAAATGAATATCAGCTAATTGAAAGAAATGAAGATGAATTAATAATGAAAATATTAGATTTTTAGTGTATTTTTTTATTCTTACAAAGGTTTGATGTTAAGCTAATGTATGAACTTAAAAATAATTAATACCTGCGGCGATGACAACACCACAGCGAGATGAATAATTCAATGTCTATATCTTGTTCCACAAACATGAAGCTGATGAAGACAGTTGAGGGTCTCGGTTTATGTGTCTTTACCAAATTACAGGCAAACAGCGGTGACATAACAGCAGAGCTTGGATTTATTTAAGTCAAACATCTGCTGCACTGAAAATGTGTGGCTGAGGGGTATTTTTTTTAGCTCCCACTCCCACATAGGCTACTGTGTGTACTTCACTGCTCTGCCTCTGAGCCGGTGTCATTATTACAAGCTCATCATACCAGTGCTCAAACGTGTCCCGAGGTACGGACTAACAGCATCAGACGAAAAACAAAACTGCCAAAACACTTGTGTCACAGCTGATTGCTTCACTCATGATACGTCCAGTCAGTGTTGTATATTAGAAAAGACCAAGTAGGAAACTGAACGTAGGTTGTTTTATTCAACAAAATGATAAACTGCAGAGGCAGAGAAAATGTTGCTTTAACGCTGAATATTTATCTGAATACACGTGCGTTACAGCCACAACACAATCAGACTGCAGCAATCCATTGTTTTCTTCGTTGTGAATGATTCTACATAAGGTGTTGTGTGTAGATCTGAGCTGGTCCCACTCCTCCTCCTCCTCCTCTCTGAATGATTGCTCTCCCTAGTGTACGCCGACTGTCACTACAACACTTACTTCTATCTAATAAACAAATCTAATCTAATAAACCTCTTAACACTTTGTAACACATTTATTTTGCAAATTAAACCTTCCGCCGATCCGCTCGACTATTATAAGCAGCATTCCTGCCGCTTTCAAAGAAAAAAAATAAATTAGATTACAGCGAGATAATTTCACTGACTTTATTGTAGTATGAAACGGCAAGCACAAAGAACGACTGGATTCAGTGTACAGGCGAGCCAATTAACACATACATATGTACAAAACACACACACTCTGCACAACCTAATATTCGCTCACTGCGAGATCCGTCTCAGGTACAAAAATAACAGAGGAGTTTGTTTTTCATTCGCAGGACCTCAGGAGACACACAGACACAGCTAGAGACCCTTGGTTGGAAAGACATTCCAGTGAAAAGAAAAACCCTGATGCGCTATGATTCATCGAGATTAAAATTGTCCATATATAAGGTGATTAAAAGACAATTTTGATGCTATATAGTGAATTATTTACACTGTATGCTGAAGGTGAAATTCAGTGGACCAATAAAACACCACCCCTTTTTTTGTTTGTTTGGTTTTTTTGTCAAAACATTCAATACTTCATTGGCACTGTGAAAACATGAAAGAGAGTTGAAGAAATATTGACTTCTGGTTACCAAAGTGTGTATATATAGTGACATACAGAGAGATTTTTGAAGAATATTCCAACAAATAACTATTATACTGACCACAAAACTGTAGAGAAGTTCTTTCAGTAAAAAACATTCAGGGGCATCGCTGGGATCATGCCTTCTTTTCATATGTACAAACTGGAGATAGCAATGGCACAAGAGGGAAATTTACATTGAGTCTAAAATGGTAGTACATATATACAAAAATGATAAAAGAACTGACCGAACAAATGGTCGATTTCATGAAGCAGAAGAGGCTCTGGCTTAAGAAAAAAAAAAAAAAAACACTAAACAACCTCAAGGAGAGTTTCAGGAGTGCAGCAATTTCTCTTTTTTTTTTGTCTGTGGTGATTGCTTGGTGCTCACAGGTTGCTTACAGAATTTATGATTGTTTGTGTTTACTGGCGTTTGGCTTTGTAAGGTCTGGAGCGTTTCCTTCGATCGGGCTTCCTCTGTTTGTGCAGGCGGCCGATGCTCACCCCCTGCCGCCGACGCACGGAAATGTTTTGCTCGACGAGGCTGGCCAACATGCCTGCAGGAGGACACCCAGGAAGGATGAAGAAAGGAGCGAAAGAAATAATAATTAGCAAAATAGCCAAAAAGTCTGTTTTATTAGGTTGGTGAAGAAAAAAAATTTGTTTTATAAGTACGTCTAACAGGTTTTTTCCCCCCCATTTACTTTATCATTGCCAAAATTCTTAGTCACTAGAACCACAATCCGTAATTACAGTGTGATTTGAGTGGCAAGATTTGAAGCATTTACCACTGAGAATGAAGAATTTAAATGAAACCTCAAGATGTCAGAGGAAAGAGAAGACAAAATAAACCGTAAAGACATGTAACAGGCAGTGATCGGGTTTACCTTCTTGGGCCAGCATGGATATAAAGGTGCAGATAAACTCGTCATAATTGTGGGTCCTCCTCTGATCGTCAATCTGAACAAATGAAAACATTTAGATATCCATTAAATTCCAATAAAGCCAAAGTCCCACCGGGGATTACTGGATTGCAGGTAATCAAAACCTACTTTGTATTTCTTCCTCTTTTCCACTTCCTCCTTCAGATACACCTCGTAATTGGCGATGTCAGCCTCCACACACTTGAGCAGTGCGAGCAGCTCCTGCAAAACAGACACAACGAACGGCTCTGTGTTTGTTTATTATATATTTTAGTGCACAGCTTCAGCAGCAGCAGCTCCCTAATTGGCAGCAGCGGCTACTATGAAGCGAAAAAGAAACCGTGGCAGGCTGATATGCATACCAAGGTGCACACTACAGCACAGTACAACACAGGGAATCTGCTGGACTTACTTTTGGTGAGTACTTGTCCCCGGGAGGCTTGCTGTCTGCAGCAGTGTCCACGGCGCTGAGCTTTTCCTTGCTGGGCTTCACCTCCGCCCCATCTTTGTTCTCCTCTTCTTTCTTCACCTCTACAGATGGTCCTTCATCTCCCTCGTTCGCTCCTTCCTTTTTATCTGCTTGCTCTTTGTCTTTCGCCTTCTCTGGAGTGCAGGGCCTCTTTGTGCCATCAGCAGCCAAATCTGTTGCAGGGGTAAAGAATAATAAACTATTTATCAAAATTAGCCACACACAGACAATCCATTATTAAAAATAGCCCGTTACACACACACACACACACATTAGCCCAAATTGTTTACTTCTACTGTCTAAAAATGATGAATATGCTCACGTGACGGACTCAAAAGTTTACTTCAGGAGAGGCTCTGAAACCACCTTCATAAACAACATGGACGACAGTAATGATCCTGTGTACTCACCAGATGGAGGGAGAGCATAGATGACTCCGTCCTCCTGTAGGTGCAGCAAGGCTACGCTGACAGAGGGACCGAGTTCTCTCACAGCTCGGTTATGTCTGGAGTCTAGCCTCAGCATCTCATCTTCGCCGAACAGCACGCGAGACAGATGGGATGCAACTGGACTCGACGGGCGTGTAGCAGCCTGGGAGCGCGCCGGCGAGCGCAGCGGGGAGTTGAAGGCGCTGCCAATCTCAGAAGCTGTGTCGGTGCTTTCGTTGCTCGGCGTGGGGGAAGGCTGTGAAGCAGATGTGATACAAATGCCCCCGGTGCGACCCTCGGTGCGTACAGATAGGGGTGTGTTCAGGGCATCTTTCCTTTGGACCTCTTTCTTCAGCTTCTCAGCCAAAACGCTGAGGGCGAGCTGGCTCTCCATTCCGGTGGCAACGCGCCCTGTTCGCGAGCGCAGACTTGCCTTCCGTCTGACCCTGAAAGAAAGCAACACTTATGAACTCTAATTCGAAGAACTTTAGCTTCAGGTCCGCATCACAACAGGAAACAGAGGATAAAATGATCAGTTCTTACCTGCTGGATGTGCCTGCAGATGCAGTCACTTCTTCCTCATCGTCATCGTAGTCATCTTCATCGTCCGAGTACGGAGGCTGAGGGGGACCCGGCATCCGAGAGCGACCCACACCGGCTGCGAGGTCTTCCTCCTCCTGGCAATCAGAGAATCTTTCATAAACCTCCACAGAAGAATTTGCTAAAGCCACAAAAATGATTTTACGAGCCCCCAAAGATACATTTATGAAGC